GCCGGAGCCGCTGAGCCAGCAGACAGGGGCCTGGCACCCCTGCTGGGCACTGCTCTGGGCCAGCGTGGCATTGGCCTGGCCAGACAATTTCCAGACACAGGCCAGCCACCACCTGGCCCCCGGAGCACTGGCAAAGCCCGTCTGAGGGTCAGCCAAGCCTCTGGTTGAACAGGGATGAGCCACGCTGGGACCACCCCTGCCCTGCTGGTCCCATGTCCCCGTGGTGCCCATCCCGCACCCCAGCTCCCACCCTGGCTCCCCTCTGCTCTGAGGGGACTCACCCTGGCCAGTGCCTTCTCCACCACCTGGGCAGGAACCAGCCCCAGGCTCCAGGAGGTGGACATGGCTCTTCTCCAGGAGAAGATGCTCGGGAGCAGCAGGACACACATACCAAAGTGCTGAGCAACAAGCAACCTGCCCTCTGCTCCGGAGGGTCTCGCAGAGGAAACCTGCTTGTGGTCTCTTTGTATTTGTTTTCTGAGGCTATAGAGGAATTTTGCCCTGAGGTGCTGTGGCCAGACGCCCAGGGATAAGAACAGGGAGAGTCAGTTTGTCCCTGGGGAGGTGCCCAGAAGCCCTGCTGAGCCCCCAGGAGCTGGGCAAGGGTGAGAGCTGGTGCTGGGCAGCTTCATGTTTAGCTGCCCAGTTTAAATGAGACTGGTCCCAGCAAGGAGTCCAGAAACCAGCCACGACCACCAGCTCCCCTTGGGCACACAGGTGGCCATCAAGTGCAGAAATCAGGCCATGTCCCATAGCGATCACCAGCCTCACCCACCTCAGATTCCTCTCTCCCTGCACAGGGAGAAGCAGAATATATTTTATATCTCCAGCTACAAAAAGATGATTTGATCTGAGGTGCTCCAACACAGAGTTGCAGTGATGCTGTGGGACATCTCCATCATGCCCTCCACTTGGCATCTCCCACACTACATCCCACAGGAGATCTAACCAGCCACAACCCAAAGAGAAATCCGAAAAACTGAGCCTAAGGATGACAAATCCCTTGAATCCAATTTATCTAATTTAATCTAGTTTAATCTCTGATTTATTGACCCTTAGGTCAAAGGCTTCTGAAACCAGCCCTCAGCAGGATCCAGATAGGACAGAAAACCTTCAGCCCGCTGGTAATGCTCAGCTTGGAGAGTAAGTTATTTCCCAGGTCAGGCAGCTTTCCTTCACCAGGACAAGGGGCGTTTGCACATGTATTATTTTTTTCAGCCTTAAATTACAACTGAACAATATTTGAGTAGCTGAGGGCATTTAGGCAATGGAATTAATGTTAATCATCTGCGACCTCTTGGAGGGTTTTGGCTATTGCTGACACACGCTGTTGGCTCCTCTCCTGGAAAAGTGAAGGTCAAGAGCATGACCACAGCCCTGACTCCCGTGAGGAGAGCCCAGGGATGGGCAAGAACACGCTCCGACCTGCCCTTCTCCTGCCCAGAGCAGTGTGTGACACCACTGGTTTAGAATTAAAACCCGTGGGGCATTAATTACCCATAAAGCCCGCTCTGCTCATTAATCCCAATCCCAACCCCTCAGGCTTTACTGCCCAGCACTCAGGATTTAAATTCCCCTGGGCACTGAAAGGGCTGCACGTTCTGATGCCACAGCCAAGGGATTAGGGGACTTCCCAGACTCCCGTGCCACCCCAAGCAGCTCTCTTAGCCACTGGGGACAATCGAAGCACCGAAACCCATGGACACTCATACCTGTTGAGAGGTATTTTTAGGGTTTTCCCCTCCAATTGGGTGGCACAAGGCAGCGATGCTGGGACTTGCAGAGCACAGGCTGACTCCTGCTTCTGTAGGGAGAAATCAAATGAAATCTTGAGCTGCCGACCAACACAATTGGAAAGCAAGGCCTCTGCCCTTGTGTGCTGTCAGTGGGCCGGGCTGAGCAGCCAGTGGGGTGCAGGCAAACCCTGCCTGAACTGGGGTCCTCTGCCCACAGGTACGAGGAGCAGCTCTCGCAGGGGAGACCCGATCTTCACCTACGCCAGACGCAGTACGTCCCTGCCGGCCGGCGCCCCGTCCCCCCTCCCCATCCCTGCCAGCCCCCCAGCTTCTCCCCACCCTCTGCTTTCTGCTCCTTCTGCTGTCGAGCTGCTACCTAGAGCCAGATAATGCTGTTTTCCTCCTCCACAGGACTCCCCTCCTCCTTTCTTACCATCACTGGCCCTGCAGATTAAAGCAGGCAGACCCCAGACAAGTTTAGGATCTTCCCAAGACCCCACTTTAATCTGCTGCATGTTAAATTTTCGCTTGGGGCAAGCACAGCCAACCATTTATCCATGTGCCACTTAGGAAGGGACCACATCCCCAATCTCAGCTCCTCCTGCAGCCCCCAGGCTGCTAAATAAGGCCTATGGATGTGCCACTCAGGATGCTGAACTGGAGATGCCGTGGTGCCAACAGATTAAAAACTCACCCCTCTGAGCCAAGTGCTCACTCCAAACCAGACATGACGCTCCTGTGGCTGCTCTCAGTTAAATGCCCTTTTCCAGCCACCTGCTTTTGTAAGCCAGGGCTTCATTTTTGACCATCCCTACTGGAACAGGCCAGCCCTGTGCCCATCTGCCTTTTTAGGAAACAACCCAACCTGGTTTGCCACATATCATCTGGAAGAGTAGGTGTGGGAGGTGACACAGCACACATCTCTCCAGAAACCTCATTTTTAGAAACTTTAGTCACAAGTGCATCCTCATAAACATCAGCAGAACATTGTCATTTAAAAATAAACCCAAGCCACAGACTTGGAGTGGATCTCATCCGTTCAAAGCAGCTTAAATTAATACCATCGAGTAGCCCAGTTAAAGAAATTCCTTTAAAAATCTAACCACATATTGAACTCTCAATAAACCCTCTCTGTGTTTTACAGATCAGCTGGCCCCAAACACGCTCAGCCTGCTCAGTAGCATCGCTTTGCACAAGGAGAAGTGGTGCTCACAATAAAACACACACTTCCCCTATGGAGAACACATGTCAGAGCGTGGTTAGAGACATTCAACATGATCACACCAACAATTTTACCCTTTCCTTTTGTTTTTGGTTGGGTTTGGTTTTTTTTTTGTTTTGTTTAACCGCATTTGAAATGCGAGGGAGCCCTTCAGACAGCAGCATTTAAATGACAATGTGTGTTTCATTTCCTTTAAGCCAAAGTTATTCAACACTAAGCATGAGCTGCATGCACTTTGCTCCCCTCGAGTTTATCTTAATCACCCTGAATTCGGTAGCCTGCGGGGAATTATGTCAGAAGCCTTCAGACGCCTTCTCCTGCTTTATTTCCCAGCTTCCCTCTATGTGCTTTGAGTTTGTTGAATCCATGTGGTGGCCAATATCTAAATGTCTCGTCTGAGGTATATAAAAGCTGCTATATAGAAGCTAGATTGAGGCTGCTAAGAAAACAACGGCCCATTTTCGAGCGGCTGGCTGTGTGATGTGCGTCTCAGTAACACACCACTGATGTTATTCAAGGTCCACTGATGCAAGATTCAAAAAGGTTTTTGTCTCCATGGTCGAAATGGAGTGAGTGCTCAGCCAAGTGTGGCCAAACCGGGGTGCAGAAGCGTACCAGATCCTGCCTAGCTGAGCGCCTCTGGGGCGTGCACTGTAATGAAGCAACTGAGGAAGGGCGGCTCTGCATTGGACATCTTTGCTCAGGTGCTCCTCTAACCTCACTTATGGGCAGGGGATGATGTCCTGGTCTCAGCACTGCGTAGGCTTTGTGCTTTCTTCATGGTCATTTTAACCCTCTTTCTCTCCTCTGCTAGGAGTTTGTGGGGCTGGTGCCTTACCAAGCAGGGCTGCTAAGGGAGCAGAGTGTGGGGAGTTTATAGCCAAACAGCAAGATAAGGGGGGGATCTAGATATGGGGGATCACCAGGGACCCATAAAGATCCTGGGGATATAGGAAAAATCTCATTAATCTTGTTACAACAGCAGCTCTGAAGGTGGAGTTGGCGATTGCCAGCAGCTGCCTCTGTGTGATCTTGAATAGCAAGAATGTGGGAATATCAAATTGCCACAGCCTCTGCTGAAGGGGCTTGTAATTAATTATATTACTCTTATAATCTCCTTTTAAGCAAATCGTTCTGAAAACAGGCTCTGGGAAAGTTGTTTTGGGTTTTCCCTGATTTCTTCCATTTATTTCCAGCTATAAAAAAAATGTATCAGGTAGCTGCTGTACAGGGATGCTCTGTGATTGTAAAAGGAACAACCTGAGCCCTCACCTTGGGAAGAGACAGATTATTGCTTAAAATTCATCACCATAGCTAATGAAAATGCTTCAGAATCACTGTTTGAGAGACTATTTTTTAAACCCATTGGGTAACACTCATTTGGCAATTAACCTACGTCCTGCTCAAGCCAGGATACCACTGAATGAGGGGAGAGAGCTTTTAGGATAGACCCAAGTCATGATTTTTGGGCATGAACTGGTAACAGAAACCCACAGAACCTATCAGGATTTGTAATTTTGCCAGAGCTGGGCTAAGAGCTCGCATGCTGACGTGGATTCAAATTTCCCCAAAATTCAGCCCTTTGGGGGAAGTAAATAATTCCTAGCTGTAATTACATCCACGTGGCTGCTTTCTACTAATTGCCAGGTTCCAAATGACATCGCCCTTGCGTTTCTAATGCACGGCTGGCGATAATCCCCCCAAAATACGTTTTGGATACAATTTACTCCTGAGGCAGGATCTGCCTTATTGCAGCTAAATGAGAAGCAGACCCGAGAGCGCTGCGGGGACGTGGGGTTGTTTCTGACCAGCCTGCCTTTCCTCCAGCCTGCAACCTCACCTGCCCCATGGGCCGGGTCAACGCCGACTGTGACGCCTGCATGTGCGAGGACGCGACCCTGCATGGGAAGGTCTCTCTGGAGGATGGCTCCCCTGCTACCGACGCCCGGGTCTACCTGCAAGCAAAGAAACTCAAGCTCTTGACAATGGCTGATAACAGAGGCATGTTTAGGATCCCGGGGGTTTGTCCCGATGGCAAAAACACCCTTAAAATCAAGAAAGCCAAATATGCGACGGCGACCGTCACCGTGCCTGAGAGCAACAGAAGAAACCTGGGGATCCACGTGCAGCTGCAACGCTCAGGTAGCCCCAAAGAGGCAGGGAGTGCAGGAGGCTTTACACTGTAATGGGAATTGAAGTGTGGCAGAGTAACGAGATGGCCTTTTCCTCCTCCTGCAGGCAAACCCTATGTGTTCAGGAGCCCCGAGGACAAAGCCAGGAGAGTGGGACAGAGCGTGGCGCTCTGCTGCGAGGCCCTGGGGAGCCCGGCCCCCGACCGCTACCTCTGGTAAGGGACCCCAGCTCCACCAGGGGCAACTCTGATCAGTGGCACAGGAGGAAATGGCCTCAAGTTGTGCCAGCAGAGGTTGAGGTTGGACAGTAGGAAAAATTTCTTTCCTCAGAAGGTTGTCAAGCCCTGTCCCAGGCTGCCCAGGGCAGTGGTGGAGTCCCCACCCCTGGAGGGGTTTCCAAGCCGTGGAGATGTGGTGCTGAGGGACATGGGGCAGTGGGGACCTGGCAGTGCTGGGGGAATGGTTGGGTTTGATGATCTTAAAGGACTTTTCCAACCAAATCTATTCTATGATTCTAGCTCTTTATCCATTCCAAAGATTCAACTATTACCTCATTACCATCTCCATATGGGTGGGGCTTTTAGCTGTAAAACTCCCAAATGTGCTGGGAACAGACTGCTGTAAATGATGCTTTCCTCAAGACATGCAGAGCTGGCGTTTCTCACAGCTGCAGTCATGTCACATGCAGAGAGACTCACTGGAAAAACATACAAATAAAGAGTTTGAAAAACGCAAGCAGCCACCACTAGTCACCCAGCAGCCACATCTCAGCACTACCAGGGGAAGGGGAATAATTTTTAGGTGATGCCACCTAACCAGGCTACAAATGGGGAAACTGAGGCAATAAATCTGGAAAGATGCAGGGTTAGGCTGTTGCTCCACTTCATCCAGGCCATCAGCCTCTGTCCCCTCAACTGCCTGTCTGTTCCTGGCAGGTACCACAACGGCTCCCTGCTGGATCCCTCCTTATACAAATATAAAAACAACCTGGTTCTGAAGAACTTGAACAGAGACCACTCTGGAGAGTATTTCTGCAAGGCCAGCAGCGCCGGGGGGTCAGCGAAGTCCCAGCCTGCCCAGCTTGCTGTCATAGGTAAGAGAAAATGCACATGATGCTCTCCAAGCAGCTGGAGGGTGTGCAGAAACCAGAAACTGTGATACATGTGGGAAAGAAAAGTCGCAGGAGAAATATTTGGGCTTTACTTCATGCATCCGTTAGCAGATAAGCTTGCGTGAGCTGGTTATGAACCAGATGCTCTCTACAAACTGGAGCTCTGGATTGCAGGTGACCTGCCAAGCTCAATCTGCTGGTTTCAGCAGATTTCTCACTGTGCTTGCTGCCTGACGTGAATATTTCTGTTTGTTTTTCAAACCTTGGGACACATTTCAGTCTGCCCGTAGCCAAACAGCCAGGCAGCTGCAGAACATCTAGCTGAGGGTGGGTTGGAAGGCAGGAGCTGGGATGCTCCTGCAAACAGCACTGGTCTTAGCCAGGTACCCAAGGTGAAAGCAGAGCACCTGCTTCACCAAAACAGAGGCCAGATGAATTCAAGGAACCAAAACCCTGTAAAACACCTGGTTTATGGCTGCAAAATCCTGCTAGTGGAAGCAACGTTTAGCTCCAAGGGTTTTAGACCACAGAATGCTGACTGCAATTATTTGTACAACTCTTTCACGCTGCTCATTAACAAATCCTACTCGACAGGACGACAAGAGGCACCCTGCAACTCCCAGCCCCAAAGCCACCTCATCCGACTTCCTCACGACTGCTTCCAAAAAGCAACCAACTCCTTCTACTACGACGTGGGCAAGTGCCCAGCGAAGACCTGCGCTGGGAAGCTGGATAAGGGGCTGCGGTGCAAGGACAACGTCGCCTACTGCTGCGGGGTGTCCAGGATGGAAACCAGAGACATCTCCTGCGACGGCTACACCCTCCCCACTAAAGTCGCCGTAGAATGCGGCTGCAAAAAATGCACCGAGACCAAAATAACGGTTCGAGGCAGAGCCACAGCAGCAGACGACGGGGAGCCCATGAGGTTTGGCCACATCTACATGGGGAACAAGAGAGTGAGTATGACCGGCTACAAGGGAACCTTCTCGGTCCACGTCCCAGCAGACACAGAGAGACTGGTTCTAACGTTCGTTGATCGGCTGCAGAAGTTTGTGAACACGACAAAGGTTCTGCCCTTCAAGGAGAATGGAGGTGCTGTGTTCCACGAGATCAAGCTACTGAGAAAGAAACCCCCCGTTACGCTGGAATCCACCGAAACCAACGTGATTTCTTTGGGAGAAATAGAAGAAGATGATCCAATTGCTGAGCTAGAAATTCCCCCCAATGCCTTTTACAGGAAAAACGGAGAAGCCTACAGAGGCAAAGTGAAAGCCAGCGTGACGTTTCTGGACCCGAGAAACGTCTCGATGGCCTCTGTGACCCAAAGCGACCTGAACTTTGTGGATGAGGAAGGAGACGTGTTCCCGCTCCGCACGTACGGCATGTTTTCCGTGGACTTCACCGACGAGCGGGGCGCCGAGGCCCTTAACGCAGAAGAGGTGAAGGTTCATTTGGACGCCGAGCAGGTCAAGATCCCAGATCACCTGCAAGAGATGAAGCTTTGGTCCCTGAACCCCGAGACGGGATTATGGGAGGAAGAAGGGGACTTCAACATCGAGAAGAGCCGGCGGCGCAAAAGGGAGGAGAGGACTTTTTTGGTGGGAAACATGGAGATCAAAGAAAGGCGGCTGTTTAACCTGGACGTGCCCGAGAGCAGACGGTGCTACGTCAAAGTCCGCGCCTACAGGAGCGAGAGGTTTCTGCAGAGCGAGCAGATGCAAGGGGTCGTGGTTTCCATCATAAACACGGAGCCGGAACCGGGGTTCTCGGCCAACCCCCGAGCCTGGGGCCGCTTCGACAGCGTGGTCACCGGTGCCAACGGCGCCTGCGTGCCCGCCTTCTGCGACGAGCAGAACCCCGAGGCCTACGGAGCTTACATCCTGGCGAGCCTGGGGGGCGAAGAGCTCGAGGCCGTCCCCTCCGCTCCCAAGCTCAACCCGAACGCCGTTGGGGTGCCACAGCCCTACCTCAACAAGCTCAACTACAGGAGGACAGACCACGAGGACTCCAGCACCAAGAAGACGGCGTTCAGCATTAACATGGCCAAGCCAAGCCCCAACTCCCCCGAAGAGAACAACGGCCCCATTTACGCCTACGAAAACCTAAAAGAATGCGAGGAAGCTCCACACAGCGCCGCTCACTTCAGGTTCTACAGGATAGAGGGAGACCGCTACGACTACAACACCGTCCCCTTCAGCGAAGACGACCTCATGAGCTGGACCGACGACTACCTGGCCTGGTGGCCCAAGCCCATGGAATTTAGGGCCTGCTACATCAAAGTGAAAATCAACGGGCGCCAGGAGGTGAACGTCAGGTCCCGCAACATGGGCGGGACGCACCCGCGCACCGTGGGCAAGCTCTATGGCATCAGGGACGTGCGCAGCATCCGGGACGCGGAGCAGCCGGCCGTGTCGGCGGCCTGCCTGGAGTTCAAGTGCAGCGGCATGCTCTTCGACCAGGACCGCGTCGACCGCACGCTGGTCAAGGTGGTGCCTCAAGGCAGCTGCCGCCGAGAGAGCGTCAACAGCATGCTCCACGAGTACCTGGTGAACCACCTCCCCATGGCGACCAACAACGACTCCAGCGAGTACACCATGCTGGCCCCCCTCGACCCGCTGGGCCACAACTACGGCATCTACACCGTCACCGACCAAGACCCCAGGATCGCCAAGGAGATCGCCCTGGGCCGATGCTTCGACGGCACGTCCGACGGCACCTCCAGAACCATGAAGAGCAACGTGGGCGTGGGGTTGACTTTCACCTGTTCGGAGAGGAGCGCGGCGGAGCAGAGCATCTTCCAGTCCCAGAGGAACTCGGGCCAGCAGTCCGTGCTGGTCCTGCCGGGGCAGAGCCCGACGTCCCGACGGCAGCCGCCGAGCCGCCAATCCCAAAGCAGGACCCCAATGAGAGGTCAGCGTCCCGTCGGATACTAGAGCCGTGGAGGAGCCTCGGTAAAGCTGCTCACGCTCAAGTAAACATCCTTGGAAAGTAACATTCTAACCTAATCTGAAGTTGGTAGGCGTGGTTATTTTTGAGATTAACTAAGGTGCATTTTTTTTCCTTTTTTTTTTTGCACCAGGAAGGAGACATAAGGCAAAAATTGAGGCCCGTAGCGGTAGTGAGTTCGTGTCTTATTAAATGCATCCATAAAAACCTTTCTGCCTGACATTAAACAGCTTCACATGATAGCCTAAAGGGAAGACTAAACATGTGATTCAATTAAGCCATGTCCATAAAACACTCTCCTGTTCTGCATCTGCAGACTTGGCCAGCCCAAGTACCTGTACAGTAGTTGGTAACATGAAAAGGAATAAACTGATTTCCTCATACTGAATTCAACTGCAAGGTTTCGTACTTGAAATGTAAGTATTTTATTTATTTCTAGCTTGTTTTAGAATGCTTGGTTTAGAATTCAAGCCAAACTACCAGCAGCAGCTGCATTTCTAAGAACTCACACGCTTGATAGCACGGGGAAGGCATGTGGATTTGTAGGCTCCACATGGATAAAAACTACAGTTTTCTCTTGCTCCTTGCATTATTCGACAAGAAAATCCATGCTCTGTGATAGGGTAGCTTAATAAAAAGAGTAATTTTGTAACTTCGACAGCGCTGCGTTGCTTTTGTATTTCAAGTGCCCAAGTAAATAAACCACTTGCAGAGCTGATCAAAGAAGAACCTGCAAAATGTCACCCTTCTGTTCACCAACAGGTCACACAGCTCTATCCATGAGTGATCCTGGGGACGGGCAAGGGGTTTGGTGGGTAGCTGGTCCTCCCCCAAGTCCAGGCCTTGGCTGTGGTCAGGGAATCTGTCCTCAGCTTGAGATGCAGAGAGTCAGCAAAGGGCTGGGAGAAGCAGAGCAGCAGGGATGGGTGAGGGGTCTGCTAAGGGGGCTGCTGTAGGGCTCCCAGTGGGACAAGATGGGAGAAAAAGAGGGCTGGGAGCCTGTGTTCTGAGGATGACAGGAAACCATGCAGGGCTGGGAGGTGCAGAGACAAGAAGACAGGCTCCCTCCACACTGCAGCAGTGAGCAGGACAATGCTGGGCAAGGAGCTGCTGTTAGCTGAAGGCACAGATGGAGACAGATGGGTCAGGCAGACAGTGATCCATCTCCAAGGGACCTATTAAGTTGCCCTATCAACCCCTCGCTACTTCTAGAGTGGAATCAAGGACCTCACCAGTAGAGAAGCCATCTTGTGTTTACACCCAATCACTGGCAATACATTTTTGGGGTGCAGGCAAGCCAGCAAACATCCCACACCAAAATTTCCACCAAGAGAGATCAAAAGAAGGTGGGTAGTGCTACTGGATGGGAACTGGGATTCAAACATGTGCTCAAGCATGAACTTCCCACTCCTACCAGATCCCCTCCTATGGGTATGAAATCAGTTCTAGGTCTTAAACTGAAAGAGGGTAGATGTAGTTTAGATATTAGAAAGAAATTCTTCACTGCGAGGGTGGTGAGACACTGGCCTAGGTTGCCCAGGAGTTGTGGATGCTCCATCTCTGGAAGTGTTCAAGGCCAGGTTGGATGGGGCTTTGAGCAACCTGGTCTGGTAGGAGGTGTTCCTGCTCATGGCAAGGAGGTTGGAGCCAGGTGATCTTTAAGGTCCCTTCCAACCCAAACTATTCTGATTCTGTGCTGTCTTACCTACAGCCCATCAAGGTCATGGAGGATCTCACAATAGTGACTAGCAAGCTTCAGAACAGGCTCCCAGGTCTGACATGGGGCATCCCAGGCATTAAACAGAGTGCTGTACAGGACTGAGTGTCTGTGCAGCCTGAATTATGCTTTAAAAAGTAAAAGAAAACCCTTAATAATCCATGGTTTTATACAAATTGACAGTTATCAAAGAGAAGCAGAAAAGGAAGAGCTGTGGAATACTCTGGCACATCCTCTTCATACCAATGAATTTAGACTCTGTGTGTTTTCTTTTGTGTTTAGTCTGCTGCGAGGGCTTGGCACGAGCTGGGGCCAAGGCAGCCAGTGGGGAGCATTAGCTGGGACCTTCCCACAGCGCTCTTGGCTTGTGCTGCTGACTCGCAGAGACATGTCTCTTCCCTCTGCAGCCAGACAGCCAAATCCCAAGCTTAGTTCCATCACTGGGAGGTGAAGTAACACAAATGACTTCTACAGATCAACCCAGGAGGTAGGTGGATGAAAGCAGGCTCGGGGTCTGGTACCTGTGCAAATGAGCTCGCCAGAGCCAAACCCAACGGAGTCCAGGGGAGGGATCTCTGTTCCTTTTGGGGAGAAATGTCCATTTCACAGGAGTGAAATGGTCCCAGCCCTACAGCCTGCAATTCTGCCTGTCCATGAAAGAGCAAGAAGCTCTCCAAGTTTCCCCAATCTGTCCCCCGCTGCGGCTTAAGTCCGACTTGGAGGAACAAACTAATCTCTGCACTCACCGAGCTCTCAGAGGAGGCTGCTGGCAGAGTACGTTGGACACAGAGCAAGACAGAGGCTTCAAACACAGTGGCTAAAGCACTGTCACCAGAAAACAACCCTGGCCCCACAGCCACCACTTGGTGCTAACACGTTGTCATCACCAGTAAGCTACCATGCCAGATATGTTAAGTTTATGTAGGAGAAAAGCTACAGCAGATTCTCTCATCCACCACTGACACAAGTTTTATGGTATAGTTCAATCTCAGCTCTGCCTTCTCCAGCTTATTTATGGTCAGTGTAAAGCAGTGTCCTTTCTGCAACCTGAACCCCACACCCCCACGTATCAGAGCCTCAGCTGGAGGAATGCAGGGAGGCTTCGGCTCGGCTTCTCCCTCGGCCTCACCCTTCTGACCACCAACCTTGAGAAACAGGCTGCAGCAGGAGACCTGCCTCCTGAATGTCAGCAGGTCTGCAGCTAATGGCAAAAGCATCTTCCATGAAGGTCATTTTCCAACCCTCAGATAAATCTGGTGACCTATCACTCCTGTTTTTAAGAAAGGGAAAATGTTGCTTCCCAGAAGCTATTAGGCTGTCAGCAATTAGGATAAACAGAAGGAGAGATTTTCTTGTCTAGTGTCAGCCTTCAGGTTATTCAGGGATTTTGCAATCAGCTTTTTTTAAAAGACTCGAGTAATCCTGGGATTACTCTCAGACTTTCTGTTTATTTGCAATTTCTTCAGGAGAAAACAGGAATAAAGAGGTTTCCTAGGAAGCATGGGGGAGTAGTGAGGCTTCAGCTCCTGAAACAGATACAGCTGACTCCAAGTCGCCAGCATCTGAGGAAATACCACTCCTTCTAACATTTATTTGAAATCCAAGCTGAAATCATCCCTGTTCAACACCAGAGCCCTTCTGGTGCCCAAACATTTTGCAGTTCTACCAGGACTTTGGCTCCCTTGATCTTACACTTAGCCATGGTGGATGCTGGGTCTAGAAATACCTCTGGTACTTCCCCTGGCTTGTCCAAGTGCAGGACAGCTGTTTTATTTTGCTGGTATCACTTTCCAATTGCTAGGGTGGCTGTAGTTGACCTCAGCAGTGGTGCTGGGGATTAAATCACTGTGTCTATGTTCCAGAGTCAGCCCTGACATGCTATTCCACACCTCATCAGTGAATGCCCCGTTTTTGTTACATCTGTTCTGCAAAAATAATCAGATTTTCATTACCTACCGAGTTAAATCCCTACAGAGCTAGGTGAAAGTGAAGTTTCCAAAGAGACATTTTGGCCAACAGCTGCCTGGGGAACACCAATTGCCTTTAAAGTTTCTCTACCATGCCAAAAATAGCATGCCAGAGATTTCCTCCATAAAAAATAATTTAATCTTACCCTCTTTTCCTCCATAAAACAACCAGGGTGAATTTGTGTGTAGTCAGAGCTAGGACATTAACTGTTAAGCAACACAGAGCTGCCTAATACCTCTAGAAAGCAATTCTGGGAAGCCTTAAAGCAAACTGCACAGATTAAGTTCCAGATATAGATATCTTGGTTACAATATGGTTTAGACATTATTTGGTATATAAAAAACTAACTCAAGACTTTCTGTACCAGATTCTCATGACCTTCTGTCCAGCTGATCTTGGCTTTCATGTAAGAGAGAAGCAGCGAGCACCATCTGCAGGGTTTCTGAGCACATGCCACCTCAAACTCCACACAAGACACAGGGAAACTCTTCACTGTCGCTTTAGGGTTTAGTTAGAACTGGAATTATCCCCAGCCAGCAATGACTGAGAGCAACAGATCTCACACAAGGTGCAATCTAAAACTTTCCACACTGTATTCTTTCTGTGGGAGTCACACTTCAGAGTCCATTCTGCTCAGGTCCTAATGAACCACGATTCATTTTCCAGTGCCTGGGGACCTGGTATGTCAGGAAAGCTGGGTCCTCCCATGCTAACAGGTAACTAAAAAACCTCATTTCTTGTAAATCCAAAATTCTTTATCATTTGTGCTCAAAATTTTGTATAAAGGGGTGTTTATAATTTATATTATTATTATTTATTTATGTATAAATGCATCTGGCTAGTCTCAAAAACCTGTCTATGAGGAAGGGGCTTTAGAGAAAGTGTTCTTATACTCAGCAAATGTTGAATATTTGAATTCCAACAACAGCTACAAGCGTTCTTAAATAACTGATGAAAAATCCCCAGAAGCTCCAGCATGGAAAACACAAGGCAAGCAGATATACAGCTGAGACCAGGGATGTAATGAACCCCAGAGAACCCCAAACCCATCCACCATCCCCAAAACCATACAGAAACCCCACCCACCCACCCTCCCTCCTAGGGACTTCAGGTGATACCCAACCTTTCACAGACTGACCTGAACAGAGTAAAACCAGAATGACTTCACAACCTTTACTGCTAGGAGCAAGCCACAAAAAAACATCCTTTGCTTGGAAACAAACTTGTAGCTTCAGCAGCACAAATCGCACCCTCCAGTCTGCTGTCAGGGCCAAAAGGAATTCTCCACAGGAGCTTAACTTCCACCTTGCTGTTGTTCCCAGTTTTTGACTCTGATTCATAGGCTTGGATTTCTTGGAGCACCACGTGTTCTGCAAAACCTGTCAGAGGCAGATTAGTTGTTGGACCAATGGCAATTAAATACTACAGCATCTGCTTTAACAGATGCTCCTTCAGAAACATGTTAATTCATGGGATACAACACGTTTTTGCCAATATTTTGCTTGCTTTCATTCAGTGAGTCACACTCCAGCACATGAAGTTCCTGTCACCTTGATAGAAGTCCCAGAAATTCCAACCTGACTTGAGCTCTAAATTCCAGATACGACTAGTGGTAAAGACATAAACACTCTGAAAAGCCTGAAGAGCCAAAAGGACGTGTGGAAGAAAATGTGTTGGCATTTATTGATCAATGAGAGGAAAGCATTATAACACCAAGCCTGCAGAACTCCTGCCTTCTGCTTTTTTCTTTTGGGGCTTCTAAAATTTCAGTGCTAATGCTGTAAATATGAAGCCAACAAGCCTGAAGAGCTCCATTGGCTCTGCTTTTACTTCACTAGAATTCAGAAAAAGCAGGAATAAGTTGAGCAAATAACACTAGAGCAGCTCCTAAGATGCAGCTAGTCTTTATTTTGCCATTATCCTCACAGGGCTGCATTACCTCTAGGACAAGAAAGTAAAGTCATCAGTTTTGGGGATCTTTAAGTGCTCCTTCTTAGACATGCCATTAATCAAAAGCAGGTTGAGGAAAAACTTGGATTAGATTTACAACTCCTCATCAGGCAAAAACTTTTCTCAACAGAGAAAGCACAACAGTAGAACATAAATATTCTGGATGGCTGACCACTATTAAGTGGGATATATTCTAGGATATGAAAACAAAAAGTAGAAGGAAGTAATGGCAATCAATATGATTAAAGAGAAAAGAATTGATCAGAAATGCTAAAGGTATCAAACATCTACTCAACAGTGTGAATGATGAGTTTATAGATTAGAAAGAGAATTAATGAGACTAAAACAAGTCACTTGTACTGTGTTTGCTTTTCAATACATTTCTTTTCTGAATTTAAAAGGAAACAAAATTATGTGCTCATGTCACATGCAGGTGACTAAAAGCAATCAGCTGGCCTTCCTAAAGAGCACTTACTATTTACAGCATGTTCAGAGTCAACAGGCCCAAATAAACAGTATGATGAGAGAGAAATGGATGAGATCTCAGATTAGATTAGGAATATTCTGTTAATTCCCTTTCCAAATCGAAGATTTATTGAATCTGAATTCCAGCACACTGGAAGTAGACACCTGTAGACTGAGACTACACAAAGAATGAAGAGGAAGCCACAGGTAATGATTGCTCAGGTTGACCAGATGGAACACCAAAAACACCACTTAGCTAACAACCCCCACAAAGGCACATGACCAGCTGCACACAGCTCCAGTTATGGTGTTACGTAAAGATGTGGCATCAAATTCCAGTGAAAAAATAAGGGATAGTCTGTATGAAGTATACTGAAGAAAACTCCATGGCCAAGAAAAATCATCCTCCAGTTGCTCATGGTTGGGTTATTCCTATGAATGTGGGGATATAAAAGTAGTTTAAGAGCCCACAAGAAAATCAACCTGGACAATCCGAGTCTCAGTGAGGACTAAACTGTGAATTACAGAGAAGAGGGTTTTAGTATGTCCAGATTAAAGTAATTGAGCACAATTTAGGCTTGAAGAAAATTATACTGGAAGTCCTCAAAAAGAAACTGCAAACATTGTATAAAAATAAATTTATTACTCAAGAGTGGAAACAGGGATTTATTCACTATCTTCAGCATCCAGAGATTCTCTTCCTTGATGGGGAAAGAGAAAGGAACATCATGAGGAGCCTACAATGAAAACATTCAGACATCAGTGAGACCAAGCACTGTGGGAGGAAACCCCTTAACCAAGCTGAATGTTACAGCTGAATGTTGAAATATTCTATATTACTATTAACTTACAGACGTCTTCTTCCACATTTTCAAACACATCTATTGTTTTACATCCTGTGCCAATATTTCCCTGTCTTTCAGAGTCCTTTTTGCTGTGCTAAGTTCTAGTGTTTGAAATCTGCATTCCTGATGAACTGTTCTTGAGTTCTGCTGGAACCAAGCATGCATATATCCATTGTAGAAGTCAACTGCTGTAAGCTGCTTCTTTAACACAACTGTTTTGATTCCAACCCAGCCTTCCTAAAAATAAAAACAAACAAACAAAAGGCAGTGAGTTTCTTTCATGTTTTACAATGATTTTTCACTCTCTCTCAGCTGCTTTACAGAATGAATTTTGTTTCATGTCATTATCTTCACACTACAAATCAAATTTTCAATTGCAAGAGAAAAGCCTGCTAGTGGAAATTAAAAATTCTTCAAGGTAGCAAATAAAAAGATGATGTTAGGCTAAAGTAGCTCAGTGAATAACCATGGACAATTAAGACAAAGGTTACATAACACACAAGTACTAAAAACATTATCTTTGGAGCAGTGAATATAAAACAAATGGGGGGAAAAAAGCCCTACCTTGCAACGAGCTAGCAGGGTTTGGGATGATTTGTGGAATAGCAGTGAACCAGGAACAGCTCCACAGTCGTTTAACATTTGATCTAAAAGCAAAGCAAGATTGTCTTGTACTTTCATGCCAAGAAGGACTAAACACTTTGAAACACTTAAGTCTCTCTGAAGCACAATAATCATCCTGAGTCACTATTCTGCTTAAAAATATTGTATTCTGTGTCTTGTAACAGGCATTAGCCCTGCGTGCTCTGGCACACCACTCAGCCCATGACAGAAAATGGTTTGAGTGATTAATTAGCACACAGGGACAGCTTTCCTCATGAGAGATCCCCACACAATGGCACTGGAAGGGGATCTCCTAACTAAAGGAGTAAAATGCTCTAACCTCAGGATTCCTGCTGCTCTCTCAATTTGGAATGTCCTTAAAACTTATTTAAGGCTCATTTTTGGGTACAGAAACTTACTGCATTCTGAGCATATATGGGACAGACTTAGTTCTACTGGAGTTTCAGAAAGCTGCACTTAGAGCTATTGTTCAGCACAACTGTGTATAAACTCCCAAGTCAATGTCTGACAAGACAGGAAAATTGAACTTAAATTCATTTAAAAGTAAATACCAGTAAAACCAGGGATATCATCCACTTCCACAAAATCTGCAAGTTTAACAGCAGTACCCTTCCACAGCGTCTGCAAAGGAAACTGCAAACAGAAGCAGGGGGCACATTGAGAATATTTTCACAGCTTCCAGGCAACTGTCTAGATTTTTTTCTTACACAAAATACCTGTGATAACAACATCAGGGAAAAAAAAAGTAGGTATATGTCCAGATAAGAGACTGCCAAGCAAACCCTCAGCATTTTCAGTAAGGAGTTAAGCAAGGAGCTGCAGCAGCCTCTGGAAACCCTCTCAGATGCATCAGTAGAAATCTCAGAGCTAAGGGAATAACACAAAACTACTGAGCTCATTTCACACTTGGGATCAAGCTCAGGAAAATTCTCCCCCATGCTAATTCCACCTGTAATGCTGAACTATGCTGGGATTTTAGAACACATGCTAAGTTTTAGAGGTTAACAGAACTAAACTTGAGTATTAGTTATTTGTTAAAATATCCATGCTAAACTCAGACATGCTAGAGGACAGAAAAGAGTTCAAAATAAATTCACTCTCTTACCATACTCCCTATTGCACGATGCAGTTGAATTATTTGTGAGGCAGTTTGCTCTTCCCATTTTATACAGCTCTTGGCTACAGATATTTTAGGAGCTGAGGGGAAAAAGAAATTAGAAGCCTTGATACTTTGTTTTGCATCTTTTTGCAAACAAATAGCTGAACCATTCTGTCCTATTTTAAACTTGATTTTACCAAATTGGGGTTTGTACAAAATTTTTTCCAGCTGTTTTGTAAGGTAATTTTGTACAAACCCCAATTTGCACTTTATAAATTATACTTTATATTTTATATGAAGTTTATACTTTATTCTCTGTTGCCCTCTTATTTACCCACTGCACTGCAAACTGATAAAATGGATCTTCAGGCACAGCTGCAACAGTTCTGTCTGTTACTAATGTGAAGAATCACAAACCCACTCAGAATTTGTGACCCTGCTAGTGATTGACAATGTACATGCAGCTCCAAAAACAAAAGTTCATTTAAATCTGAAAAATAATTCTGAAGCATTTTTCCCCTCTGTAAGACTTAAATTCAAAGAAGGAAGAGATCATGTTGAGAATGGCATCTAAAAAACAAATACATAACCAAGCACAGTAGGAAGAAACTTGGTTTTCTAGCTGATAAAAGAGAAACTGACCAAGTTGCACTAAATATGATGTGTACCTACCAAATGTTACACCTTCTTTTGGTTGCTCTTTTTTATTTTTTAAGCTTTCAGGCAGGTTTTTCAAAACTGATAGCAGCTGTAAAAGTAAATGTTGTACAGAGCATTAACAAAGCTAAGCACAGCAGACTTACTGCTACTGTTGATAGAAGACAAACAGAGTACCTAATTTTTCATCAGTGACACTTTCTCATGTGCTTTTAGAAAATTGGGTCAGTATATTCAGAAGAGTTATATCACACCCACACACACCAAGACATCCTTCCCACTGAATCACAATTAAAAAACCCCAAGTATTCTTTTATGGATGATCTCCTCTGTTACTAATCCTAGCACAGGATGAAAGCTGATTATTAAAGCATCACAGAATCATTAAGGTTGGAAAAGACCTCTAAGATCAGCAAGTCCAACTGCCAGCCCAACACTACTGTCACCACTAAACCATGTCCCCAGGTGCCATGTCTACACATTTTTTGAACCCCTCCAGGGATGGGGACTCCACCACCTCCCTGGGCAGCCTGGGCCAATGCCTCACCCCTCTTGCAAGAAATTCTTAATATCCAGTTGAAACCTCCCCTGGGGCAACTTCAGCCCATTTCCTCTTGTCCTGTCACTAGTTACTTGGGAGAAGACCAAAACCCACCTCACTCCAGCCTCCTTTCAGGGAGTTGTAGAGAGACAGGTTTCCTCCCTTCAGCCTCCTCTTCTCCAGACTAAACAACCCCAGGTCCCTCAGCTGCTCATAAGAGATGATCCCCAGACCCCTCCTTGACCTTCTCTGGACCCACTCCAGCCCCTCAATGTCTTTCTTACACTGTGGTGCCCAAAACTGACCCCAGGACTCAAGTCAGTATTAAGACAAAAAAAGAAGATATTCACACAATGCAAGAAGAAACTGCACTGCTTCCATACAAAGCACCTGAGTTTTCCCTGAGCAGAAGCAGAACAGGAAGGCCCAAGAGCAGCACAACACTCCCCCCTCTGCTTTCCCCTCAGCAAGGCAAAGCGCTCGCTCACACCAAGCTTCAGACCATCCTCCTCTCAACAGCTGCAGCCACCTCAGAACAAGGTGAAAACAAACTCCATCCACACGTGTTAGAAGCAAGGCAGAAGCTGCCCAGAATGCCTTTACCATGGCTGCACCCATCTCTGCTAACACCACTTCCAGCTCCTTGGCCGTGCAGCGGGGAGGAACAGCAAACTCCTCCTGCTTCACAATGGGACCTACATCAAACCTGCAAGGCAGAAAACACACAAGCTGGAGAAGCTGTAACTCAACCAGCAGTTCAAAAATCTACATACAACACATTAACTCAATTACCCTTTTTTTTTTTTTCCACTAAAATTTTATTTTTCACACATTATCAAGCAATATTTGGTTCACAACACAGGGAAAACAATATCAGACATGGTATGATCTTGGCACATAAGCTTCACCTCAGCAGGCTGAGATGGATGTGAGAGCACAATTCACAGTTCAGAAGTGTAAGATCTCAACAGAAACCACCTGAAGCATTCAGAAGACATTTAGTTTGCACTTTCTTGAGATCTATTATCAGACAAGCATCTAAGAAAGAAAAGATAATTATGATGTGTTTTCACAAGGCTGTTAAGCCAGAGTTTGTGCTGAAAGTAAAACACATAATCCCCCTCCCATGCTTAGACAGATAATTGGTTGTTTTCCATTTCACTTTCAGGAGGTTACAGCTGACTCTGAAGTCTGAAAACAGACTTTCTACTGTTGCATCACACCAAGCCTACCCACCTAGCTGTTTGTGGTCTGCTCCCTGGACTAATGCTAAGAATTACAGAACAGGGCTAGAGTCTGGAGCACAGGTGGACTCACTAAAATACTCTAACTGTGGCAAGTCTCATAAGGTCAGAGAAAAGCTTCAAAGTGTTTTGAATTTTAAAGACACACACACACAGACACAACGAATGAATTCAGCGCTGACTTAAGTGGGGATGATTTTAAAGTCCTGAGAGGCAAGAGCAGCAGTGAGTTGCTTTAGGAAGCACACCTAACCTACCTTTTTGGTCTTATTTCCATAATTGTCACCCCGGTCACTTTATCCCCATGAAGCACAGTGTGGACTATTGGTGCAGGACCACGCCATCGTGGGAGGCAGCTGGGATGGACGTTCAGCACACCACTGAATTGAGGTATTTTAAAGTTAGAGTAGGAACAGTACCTGAAACTGAACCTATATATATAGATCTCCATGTGCAACACTTATCACACTGCAACTACTTTAAGAATTAACTCAGACCTTCTGAGGCATTATTGGTTTAAATATACCTTTAAAGGAAAATTCACACTTCAGCGTCTCAGTGAGCACAGAAAGGGAGAGGAGTAAAGGTAAACACATTCTGTGAGCATTTGCACAGTTCTACATCAACGTGTTAAAGAACAGCAAACCTCACAATGACAGCAGCAAGGCTCAGGCTAAGCAGATGAACCCAGGGAAGAAGCTGACCTCACCTGCTACAAGTCACAAGGGCTGACTCAAAAACAGAGTCTAGCTTTGCTAACGAAGCAGCAACAGATGTCCCATCAACTCACTATGGGAACTGCAGAATAAGCTCCTCACTTAGGAGACGTCCAAATGATGCCACCACACCCACATCAAACTGCCCGGCGGGTCCCGTGTGCGGCCACTCGTGAGTGGGCAGCTGCAGCTCCCGGGCACACCTCCTCACAGGCAGGTCCCCAGGCAGGCGGGAGGGCAGGGTCACCACCTCCAGCCTGGACACCAGCGCGTCCTCGACGGGCTCCCTGGGGTGGACAGGGCATGGAAGGTTTCATGAAGGCAGAGCAAGGGAGAGGCAAACACCAGGTTGCTGCCATCCCTCACTGTGCCCCCGTGTCCTTCCACAGCACCTGCCCCTCCAACTCCTATGCCCTACACAGTCTCCAGCCTGCCTTCAGTGACCCCAGCCTCCCCGACACGGTCCCCAG